AAAAGATCCCAAATCTGAGCTGCTTCTCAAAGTAAGACCCACCCCTTTACATTGCACATATTAAAAAAATGATAAGCATGGATATGTGGAGTAGCAAATAAAGATAAACTGGAAACATTTAATTTGGAACTCAGCTACCAGATTTTGACTTGTTCAGAATTGCATAAATGACACCTACTTTCAAAAGAATGTCACAATGTAGTGATGGATGATGTTAAAGCACAGAGGAATGACAAATGGTTAAGGCATTCTTTCATCAAACATCACAAGGTGTCAGGGAGCAAGAAACCTAAATCCCACTATATGCATTTAAAAGACAGGCCACTTTTCCAATGTGCTAAACAGAAATAAGTAGCACGTAGGTGGGTTTAACCATTTTTTCTATGATTCTGTCCCATCCTGTCCCCTCCCCATCCAACTCCACCCCTATTCCTGTTATAACTGTGACTTGCCACCAAGTTTTTGTATTGTAATGTTTAAAATTTGGAAATCTGTAAGAGCAACAAAGATGATTAGGGGATGGAAACTAATCAAGGACAAAAGCAACCTAGAACTAAGGAGAAATTCCCTGACAGTTAGAACAATTAATCAGTGGAACAACTTGCCTCCAGAAATTGTGAATGCTCCAACACTGGAAGTTTTTAAGAAGAGATTGGACAACCATTTGTCTGAAATGGTATAGAGCAGGGGTGTCAAACTGCCGGCCCACGGGCCGCTTTCATCATACCAGAGCTGCACCCACCCCATTGCCGGCAATGGCGAAAAAGCTCTGATACGTCGCGCGATGTCACGTGACATCGTGAGTTTGACATGCCTGGTATAGAGTTTCCTGCCTGAGCAGGTGGTTGGACTAGAAGATCTCCAAGGTCCCTTCCAACTCTGTTATTCTTTTATTCTACAATTGGAATTTTGGAAAGTTTGGGAACGGGGGGGAATATATGGGTACTTGTTTGCTGCTGATACTTTTTCCATGGCTCTGTCTGCCTTTGGATCAGCCTGGCTCACGTGTGTACTAGTCCAGCCGTCTTTCAGAAAAGGCTGACCACCCATTTGTATTATAGAAATAAAAAAATCATCTGGGTTAGGATAAGGAATGCATCAGTTTCCATTATTTAAAGAATTTCCCTGAAAGGAAATCATCCTAATAATATTCCCAGAAATTCCTTAGGCAGGTTTTGTGCTCTGCCCTTAAAAGCTTTAATTAAACTTGTTTTCCAAAATTCTTGTAGACTCACTCCCTCTCTCTCTCTCTCTCTCTCTCTCTCTCTCTCTCTGTGTGTGTGTGTGTGTGTGTGTGTGTATACATCATATATTCTGCCAAAAAAACTAATCAGTGCACTAGATGTCATGTCTCAGTTCTGCTCCCAACCAGCATGAACAATTCCAGAAAATTTAACAATTGGTTCTTGCAAGCCAGTAGAAAGCAGCTTCAGCACAGCACATTGCCTATTGACTGATTATGTGCCATAAAACAGATTTTGACTTCTAGCGACCACATAGATAGATTTTCTCCACCAACCACTGTATATACATATTCATTATCAACCATTTGGAAATGTTCTCATCAGAATAAATGATTTCAATGAAGAAATGAATATACATTCCTTATTTTTATTGTCTTCCACCCTGGGATAGCTTTGTTATATTCATCCCACTATACTTTTGATTAAAAGTAGGTATTTTAAAATTGTCTATTGGGGGACATGGTCACATCATCAATAGAAAAGGAAAGTAGGCTAAAGATGGCAACCTGGTTTATTCAATGCAGGGGCCCCAATAAGTAGTTGGTTCAGCTGCTTTTGCATTCATTGCTATTCTGCTATTGCTCATTTTTTCTATTTGGCAAATGCTTGATTTAAACCGGGTCCTTCTGGCAACCAGCAACTTTGTTCCTCCTGAAATACAGATACTTACACAGGAAGTACATTACTTAGTCCTTTGTTCTCTACACCTTCTCTGTTACAGACAGATGAAAAGTTGTGTGAATTCCATTAATGGGGGTTTATGTTACTTGTGTTGAGTGTTTACCCCCTTACAACATTAAAGACCACTTAATAGAAAGGCAGGAAACATATATTTGTTTCAGTCCAGGAAAAAAAAAAAGGTATCAGATGTGAGTTTATTTCTTAAAGTCAAGTATTTTCCATAGAAGTATAAAATTACTCATTGTAACTTGCAGACTACATATTAAAATTACATGTTTAAGCCTGCAACAACAGACTTTTGCAGCCTTGCCTCAAGGTGAAATAGATCTCTTCTATGTTCATTTTGCTTCCTGAAGTTGTTAGAGATAATCAGAAGAAAATCATAGATACCTGAGGAAAAATTATAAAAAGCCTAAACAAAGCTGCGCTCAGCCAGAACCTGTGTTTGTGTGTGTATTAATTTGAGGAAGTAGAAATAAATCCTGTATCTGTATCAAACATGGCAAGTAAATCAGAATAGATAATAGAACAGATTATAGATATACTATATAATATAACAATTATAACAGTTTATATCCGCAAAGTCTCACATGTTGCTCAAAATGGGATTCCGAGTGGTCTACATTTCTTTTTACAGGATATAATGAAATAACAGAACTTAGAATACCTTGAAAGAGCTCCACTTGGTGAACAAAAAATAATGAATCTGTGATTTATAGGTTTGATGATTAGAAAGGATGGCTTATAGAAAAAGGAAATGAGGATATAACCTTAGAAAAGGAGAGAGGGTAAAATATAAATGCCTCTGTAAGTACTGTCAAAAAGATTGGATTCTGCTCCTTTATACATTTTTCTTCTTTTCTCTTTCATTTTCTCTTTTCTTTCTTACTTATTCACTATTCTTTTTTTATTTTCTTTGTTTCTTTTCTAATACTGGTATTGCTTTTATTTTGTTAAAAATTTCTTCAATAGAAATTATGTGTGTGTGAATGTGTGTATGTGTGTGTGTGTATATGTACATATATGTGTGTGTGTGTATGTGTGTGTCTATATATGTATGTGTGTGTATATATATATATGTGTATGTGTGTATATATATGTGTGTGTGTGTGTATATGTATGTGTGTGTATATATATATGTATGTGTGTATGTGTATATATATATGTATGTGTGTGTGTGTGTGTGTGTGTGTATGTATGTGTGTGTATATATGTGCATGTGTATATATATGCCATTGACTCCAGGGCAGAGGCCTTCAAAGAGAATCTGGTCTGTTTTCAGTTAAATTTACCAAACAGAATGTGCTCAACACAAACTCCAAATTTTGCATTCTGACTTTCTTGACAGGAGAGCTTCTAGCTTTGTATGAGATTCCCTAAACCACAGACCATGAAGACACAATGTAATATATAATACTTGGCAACTCTACCAACAAAAGGGTGGGGGAGGTTATGGTCCTGTCACAATATGTTCTTCCCTTTGAAAGTCTCCTAACACACTTCTCTGAATTTGCTGCAGTACTCTTCACGATCAGACACTAGGTCAATGGCTGAAAATGGACTCATTGTTTTTCAACGGAAGATAATATGAAACTTTGATTTAATTACAACAAAGAATCATTCAACTGACAATATAGCATTAAGAAAAGAGAAGGTTCATATTTCAAAAACATGAAATTATTGAACCCGTAAAAGAAATGGGGAAGGGTGAGACCACAGTGCTGACTCCTGAGTTCAAAGTTATACCTGAAGCACCTTCTAACTACAATTAGCCTAGCCTCTAATTTACAAAGTTTGTTTCCAAACTGTCGGAAACTTAAAAGATTATGTCATGGTTTTCTGGGTAAATTTACCAGTGCATAAAAACCCATTGTCACTGCCACTTTTAATAAAGTACAAATATTACTATAGATAGTCCATGCTTCATAGTAATTGGGACTGGAATTTGTCGCTAAGCGATGCAGTCATAAAGGCAACTATCATGTGACTGTATCCTTTAGCAATTGCAATCCTAACACTCTCCATTGCTGTCATTAAGTAAGGATTGTGTGTTGTTAAGCGAGGACTTGTATCTTCCTGCCAGCTTCCAAGCAACAAAAATCAGTCAATGGGGAAATCAGCAGGAAGTCAAAAGTCCTGGGAGGCTTGCAAGCAGGCTGGTGGGCAAGTGCTACGAAGTGCAGCTGGGGGGAAGGCTGGGCTAACTGCAGACAAGTGTAGGAAGAAGCACTGCAGTGCAGAGTGTGGGTGAGGGCAGAAAAGAGAGCTGTGGTGCAGTATGAATGCAGGAGGACATGGGATGGGAAGCTGTGTAAACGTGTGAATGCAGACAGATGGACGTGTGCACTATAGAGTCCGGTAGGGGGTGCTTCAGGCAGGCATATGCTGGAGTCTCGTAATCCATATAGTGCACTCCTCAGGAGAAAGATTAGTGAGAATGACTTAGATGAGCGACTTGTGACTTTCTCTGCCAATTTCCCCATTGACTTATCTTGTAGAGAGCCAGAAGGGAAGGTCTCAAATGGCAATTGTGGGATTGCAGGATGGGGCAGTCACCTTAAGTGCAAGCTCGGTGCCAAGAGTTTAGATTGCAAGGGGAGGTGCTGGGACATCAGACAACTCAAGGACAACTCATAAGTGTCACTCATTGAGTGCCATTGCAACTTTGAACGATAACTGATTGACTAGTGTAACTGAGGAGTACTTTTAATGGCTCTAATGAATTAAGGAACATAAGAAAAACTTTGTGAGATCACATCACATTCCCAGAGCTTCGGACAAGACGTTCTATTGTAGTTCTATTATATTAATAACTAGTTTCCATCCACTTATTCATTTTTCTAAGCAACTGATATTCACAATATAATTTTGAATATTAGCCACCTGATTTATTTCTCAAATTTCCATTTAAAACTAAATTGATGTAAATTTATTGATTATATAAACTGAAAATAAAATGAGAACTTTTGAACTGGTTACCAGAAAAGTAAAATTAAAAGAGTGATAAATACTGAAAATCCATTCCATATACATATATGTATATGTATACCCAATATAATATTTACACTGACTCACCTGGGTATAATTGTTTAGTTGGGGCACTGAGTTGTGCATTTTTTGTAACTCTGTAGGCAACATCTGATCCTTTGGAATTCTTTCTGTTTATGCAAATTCCGGCTGTTTTTGATATTCCTTCTGGAGATTTATGAAATTCTAATGCTTTGAGGACATCCACTGGCTCAGCTGAAAAATGAGAAAAAGAAGAATTTAGAATATGTGTAGTCCTTCCAAAATATTGCCCATCTTTTTTTTAAAAGGGGAAGCTCATTTCTCACTTTACAGCAAGAAGCTCTAACAATCTTAGTGATCCAACCACAAGGCCAACCTTGGCCCACTAAATTAACCAGGTTCCATCACAGCTCATGAAATGCATTAAAATATTGGCCTGAACATTAACAAACTGCTTTCTGCACAGTCTGCAAATGGATTGTGAATTATGACAGCTGAAATACAAACACCTGTAGAGCAGGTTGCCTGCACCTCATCTTTTTCAATGGTGCATTTGTCAACACATGTATTTTAGAGAGAGAAATGAAGTACAAACCTGTTCTTTAGTTATCACACACATATTGCTACACCCCTCCCCCCAAAAAGCAAATATCCCTCTTGCCCTTGTTATAGTCATCTAGTACAACTTGACTAATGCCTTCCATTTACTCAACTTGCTTTTTTTGAGAATGAACCTAAGCCTTTTTCTTCCCACTCTTGACTGCCCTGAGTTTTGTTGCCATCTTGCTTCTTAGCCAATTCAGATCTTTACAGCAATAACTCGTGACATCACTTCCTGAAAATACCCTTCATGGCAGATTTGAATGAAGATTTGAATGGATAAGTCCATCTTAAGAGATAAATTTATTTTTATTTTATTTTATTTTATTATTTTATTTTATTATTTTATTTTATTTTATTATTGCAGACTTGATATGCTAACAATCTGGATAACAATTCCAGCTCTAAACAATGTGTAAAACGTGTTAATGCCAATAAAAACAAGGAGCCATTCAAATAATTAAAAACAGGTTTAAAATATGAAACTACAAGGTGTAAAAGTTTAGGTCCAGACGTGAGAGTCCAGTTAAAATGATTTTCATCAGAGCACCATCATAACACTGATGATGTTACCTAGTTTGGGCAATGAAATGTCTGCAAGAAAACAGCCAAGCTGAGAGAACACCAAGGACCCATCATTTCAATCCTATTCTCCTTTATTAGTACCCCATAGATTTCAACAAAATCAGGAATGAGATGCGAAGTTTCTTGCCAGCTTGTTCATCAAGAATAGTTTGGTTAGCTGAAGGGAGATTTGAATGTTCTGAAACAGACTTACACTTCCTAGGTATACTGGATTACCATTCCTACAACTGGGAAGATTGGGAGTTATGGCCTGAGCCATCACAGGAAATGTTTCCTACAATAAGAAAACTGGAAAGACTTGGACTCTTATCAGAATCATTGTTTCTTGTAATTCTGAGGCAGGAGGCATTGTTAGTGTAGCTGTGTGAAAGGTGAGACATTTAGGAAAACTGGAAACAAAACACTTCGCTCTTTTGGGAAGCAAGAATAAAGTGATCGCTAGCATCATTCCCAGGAAAGGTGAGGAGTTGGGATTGGAGGCCAAAGCATGATTGCTGTCTCCACAAATAACATTTTCAGAATGAAAAAAAAAATGGGGCAGAGGGAGCAAAGAGTGACAAGCCAGCTGTTTCTGCCACACTAAGCAACTCCTTCCCTGTGCGTCCCTATCATTTGATGGCCAAAGTTGTCAAACTGTTTCACTGCCACCCATAACTGAGTTGGCAAATGGGCAATCTTTTCAGAAGAATCCAGCTTCTAGCATCTTCCAGACCCTCTGTAATAATAATGGTTTCCCTGCTATAGAACCAGAGACTTCTACTAGAAAAGCTACTTGCTAATAAGCAATGCTAAAACCTCACTTTCAGAACATTTTATTCATCAGTTATATTTCTAGCAGACAGGAGACCAAAATCAGATAAGCAAAAAGAAGAGGTAAAACCTCAACAGGAAAGCTTGGCTATATTGAGCATATAATGACAAGTACTAAGTGCTTAAAGTACATAATTGCCAAGAATTAAGATAACATTAAATCTGTCAAAATTCAACGAATACACACACTTTCCACTGTTGCCAGCATTTTTCTCTTAATACTTTAAGAATCCACCTAAGCCCATCAAAACCACATTAAAGCTACCACCATATCATTTGATTAAGTGTTCCAACAGGACCAAAATGACTACATGTCAATTTACTTGGAATTATGGCTTACAGGGTGCAAACTAAGCCAAAACATTGTTAATTTGGGTTTGGATTAGCTTGCATTTCAATTCAGTTGACTGTACTTTATTCAACAAATCAAGGGGAAAAGTTGGCCTTGCGTGATACGTAATTAGTGCAATCACTGTGGCTGAGGTCCCAGATACTTTATGACCTAAGTATATTGTCCTATAAATATTTACTTGGAAGCCCAAAAAGGTGCTTTTTTATGAGGCAACTGGACTTTCTTGTTGTTTTTTTGAAGACGTTTCACTTCTCATTCAAGAAGCTTTTTCAAGCAAATGCAAATGACCAGCTGTCTGCAAGGAGTATAAATCCTTCCATTTCCCCACCATCCAGTCAGAGCTGAAGAAGCTTCTTGGATGAGAAGCGAAATATTTTCAAAGCAAAACAAGAAAGTCCAGTTGCCTTGTGAAAAACCACCTTTGGGATAACTACAACCTGGATGACTAAGACTCTCCACAGACCTTTACTTGGGAGAAGGGGACAATGAAACCAGTGGGACCTAGTTGTGAGACTCTATGGACAGGATGAACCGCAAGGATATTAGCACAGTCATATACATAGAGATATTTAATTGCATTATTTTTACCACACACATGGATACATGATGCAAAGTATTATATCTTGTTGCTACTGTTCTGGCTATGAATATCATAGATCATGAGATTAAAAAAATAGCACTGATTGTTCATTCCTCAGTTTGGCTATTCTCAGTTATAGAACAGCAGGACAGACCTCAGATGTCATCAGAAACAAAGTTTCTAGATAATTATCCCCAGAGAATGCAATGTACATACCATTAAGGAGATTATGACATAGTATACCGTAGTATGGAGACAGCCAAAGAATGCAAGAACTATTAAGTAAACTTTAACTTTGATCTGGGAAAGACAGGGTGAGGAAAAAAATCTCAAGGTGCCTTGATTCTGTTTGATGTAAAAGGCAGCAGAGGAAAACTGACAGGTTTTCAAGATTCTGCTCTCATACTTATATCAATAAAGTAGAGTTCTACTAATCCTTGTATTGAGTGCTGCCTGGCCTGGGTACATGAATGAGATCTCTCTCCCCCCCCTCCTCTCACATACACACACACACACACACACACACACACACAAGCTATCTACAAGATCTCTTCAAAAGATAAAAAAAAAGGATTCAGCAGTTAAATCACATAGCTCCCATTAATACAGTTAAATCTCTTTCATAGACTAGGACTCAAGACTAACTGACACAGTTCAGCTAGATAACATTTTTTTTATTATAAAGAAGAATAAACCCAGATTAAATAATTCATTGCCTAGTGTCAGGAAAAAAATGTAAGCTACATTCATAGCTCAAGTAGTAGAAACCCATGTTTCTTTCTGCTCTTTCTATGATTTTATAGACTCTTTGTACAATGTATAGTGGCATTGAAGCTGAGCAGATACTGAGCATCTATATAACCAACAATTCAGGTCTAAGAAACACTACCTGTTGATTCATTTACCACAATAATGATCAATTGGCAATAAATATCAGGAAGTGGAGAAAAAGGCTCTACCTAAGGAAAAGGAAAATTGATGCACTAATGCAAAATACACTACACCTTCTTGTAGAAATGTGGGGTTGATGTTGAATTTGGCTCTGGAAAGAAATTGATTAAATCTTATTTCTTTTATTTCAGACGATATTTCCATTTTATGTTACCTCCACAGACACAAGCCAGACTTTTGACTTTTATCCTTTAGTCCAGACTACTTCTTCCATTTTAAAAAAAAATCAAGCATAATGTACATTAATTGTTATAAGATCCGGACCCTGTAGGCCAACACTGGAACAACATAAAACATAAGAATAATTTTAATGGAGTAACTCAAGACCAAGCTTCTCCAGCATTTCCATTAATGATCTAAAAGCATCACCCAATGGGGTTTATTAACAACAGCTACTCTTTAATGAAAGATCATGTTTCTATGTTTATACAGCAGTCAAGCCAAAGAGAAAGTCTTTCATGCAATTTATCCCGTGGGCTTTCAATATATTCTCTAGGTTCGTGTAGGAAGATCCATGCAACATTATCTCAGTATGTATTTATTAAACTAATGCTTACTACATGCTTAATTTTACATGACCATGGCCAGCACACAAGATAAGACTATTTAAACCAGAAGTGAGCTTTGTGGAATGCAACTTGACCACAAATAGGACCCAGTCTACTGACATTTCTTTAGACCTTGAAATCTAACAACTACAATAGCCATGAAGTAGTGGCTGAACTGGAGATTCACATGCCAGGAAATGAGATTCAGTGTATCCTTGAGGACATGCTTAGCCTAGAAATTTGTCATTAGTTCCGGTACTAAGTTTGCAAATCCACTGCTTATTTCGCTTTCTCCAAGTGGTCTTTTTCAGAAACCTAATTTAGAAGGCAAAAGATGTTGTTCCTACTGCTATGCTTTACACAACAGGGGGGTCAGAACTACAGAAAACTACTGAAAGATCTTCAGCAGATCCCAACATTACTCTTCTTTGTTTAAAAGCACCTACTTATACTTGAAAGCAAGCAGAAGCTGGGATTTGTAATGGCATGAGAGAACAACCTTGGGAGACAGAACAAAGAGCCACAGCGATGGGAATGGTCAGACAAGAGGGAGCTTAGACACAAAAGGAATGTGGACATAGCAAACATTTGAGAAGGTATCCTCCCTATTTTCTTGTACTGTAAAGGGGACCGGGGGAGGGGAGAGGGGCATGTAGTCTCAGATTTGCAAGATTCTCTTAATGTAACCTTACAATAAAATAGAATTAATCCATCTGATTATGCTTTTTGTCTAGACTACCTTGCAAGGCTGACAGGACTAGACTAACTTTGCTAGTTAAAATTGTTACAGTATATCCTTTGCTATTAT